TCAAGCCACGTATGACTTTACTCCTTTAACAGAAATTGAGAAGTTAACGCGATAGTTCAACCAGAAAAATGAAAATTATTTTAATTTTTTTCACCCTCATGTTTTTTTAAACTAGTATGACTTGTATGAGAATATATTTTGAAGAATTTTGGGAACTAAACAGTTTTGGTTCCACTGTATGGACAAAAACATTAAGACATTTCTCAAAATATAAAGTAAATATTTATGGTATTCGAAAAAGAATATTAAATATTAATATTTTCTTTCAAAAGGGATGCATTTTGAGACCATGACAAGTCCATCTACTGCAACAACGGATAATAGTAAATATTCCAGAGGTACACCATTTTTTGTCACCCATTTGAACGTTTTTATGAATAAAACAAAAATACACAATGGCTGCATCTGAATATGCATATTTTCCTACTATACAGTAGGTGAAAAAACAGCACATGAAAGGAGAATTATGTCAGAATTAACAATATAAAAAAAAAAGGGGAGGCGAAAACACCTGAATGACCTATTTCTTCCAGTGAGATTCTAAAGTACACATCCAGTGGACACTTTACTATCCCATGAGGCCACTGGAAAGGAGTAAAACAAGATTGTATAGGTCACATAACAATGACAACATGACGAATTAAATATGACCAGATTACACTCAAACTATACATTCATATATATAGAACAAACAATATAGAACAAATTTATTCAAAATGTAAAAAAAATAAAAAATCCTAAATTTAAAAAAAACTGTGTCTTTCTCTTTATTTATTCCTTCCCTTTCTAGCTTGTACTTATTTGAACAAATGCCTGAAACTTGGTACTAGGGCTTCCTGTGTCTTTTTGCCTCTTTAAGAAGAATCGCTTTATGTATTCCCCAATTGTAAGTCGCTTTGGATAAAAGCGTCTGCAAAATGACTAAATGTAAATGCAAAAGCAGTACCTACTCAGAAAGTATGAGATTTCAGACTGTTTTTTCACAGTCTCACCCTTAACTTAAACTCGGGGCTCAAAGAAGTCAGTTGCACTCAAAATACCACTTTGTGGTGGCATTTATGTGTGTTCAGCTCATACCATTTTTGTGACATAACTTGAATGCACCATATTTCCTGTAATACGTAATGTCAAAACTCTTGTAATCTTCCCTGCAGGAGACAGAAGAGGACCTCCTCTCACTCTATCCAAAGCCTACAGGAGCTGAAGTCTCAGGGTCGTCTCACTAGACCCGTCCTGTGCTCGCTGCATCCTGGACAGGAGTTACGGCTCTTCTGTGAGCCGTGTGACCTCACCGTGTGCCTGGAGTGTGCGGCCACCTTTCACCGCGACCACCACTGCAGCTCTGCCCATGAAGTCATCAGTCATCATGGCGATCGCATCAGAGATTTGGTCGTCAGGAGCTTAAGGCCTCGTCTTGGCCGTCTGGAGGAGTCTCTGAGACGCGTTGACACATCCCAAGAGGCGCTGCAGGCTCGGGCTGACACGTTGGCGGGTGAGATCCGGGCGTTTGCTCGGAGCTATGCCAGCGCGGTGGAGGCTCATTGCAGCTCACTGCTGCGGTCACTGGAGGACTTACGGTCGCAGCGCAGGAATCAACTCCATCTGCAGAAGGCTCAGTACCTACTCAGAAAGTATGAGATTTCAGAGACTGTTTTTTCACAGACTCACCCTTAACTTAAACTCGGGGCTCAAAGAAGTCAGTTGCACTCAAAATACCACTTTGTGGTGGCATTTATGTGTGTTCAGCTCATACCATTTTTGTGACATAACTTGAATGCACCATATTTCCTGTAATACGTAATGTCAAAACTCTTGTAATCTTCCCTGCAGGAGACAGAAGAGGACCTCCTCTCACTCTATCCAAAGCCTACAGGAGCTGAAGTCTCAGGGTCGTCTCACTAGACCCGTCCTGTGCTCGCTGCATCCTGGACAGGAGTTACGGCTCTTCTGTGAGCCGTGTGACCTCACCGTGTGCCTGGAGTGTGCGGCCACCTTTCACCGCGACCACCACTGCAGCTCTGCCCATGAAGTCATCAGTCATCATGGCGATCGCATCAGAGATTTGGTCGTCAGGAGCTTAAGGCCTCGTCTTGGCCGTCTGGAGGAGTCTCTGAGACGCGTTGACACATCCCAAGAGGCGCTGCAGGCTCGGGCTGACACGTTGGCGGGTGAGATCCGGGCGTTTGCTCGGAGCTATGCCAGCGCGGTGGAGGCTCATTGCAGCTCACTGCTGCGGTCACTGGAGGACTTACGGTCGCAGCGCAGGAATCAACTCCATCTGCAGAAGGCTCAGCTGCAGCAGGCCTTGTCTGACGTCCGCGGTGGGGTGGACTTCGCTGAACGCCTGCTCACGTGTGGTTCTGACGCTGAAATCCTCAGTGCCAAAGGAGTTACTATGAGGAGACTGATGAACCTTGTGGAGTCAGGATTCGACCCACACCCAACGACGGTCGCCCCTGATAATGCCAGCAGCATCTGTTTCCTTCCTCAGGAGAGTGCTGGAGAGGTGCAGGGATTTCCTGTGGTGGGAGTCATACATGCCAAGACTGTGGATCCCAGCAAGTGCACGATCCAGGGAGAAGGTGAGAGTCGGGTACTATCTATCTTCAATAGCTTTACACTTTCATACCACCAAACCTGTCCCCAACCTTACCCGTATCACCCCCCCAAAAGAAGCAAAAGTGTTTTGCAAAACAATATGAACACAATAACATTGTACTTATTATGATGTAAGTACATAGTAGTTTAAGGCCACCTAATATAAAGAGGGAAAAAAAAAAAAATGACAAGTGTGATGCACATACTGTAAGTTAAATTTAACTGCTTCAATTTGATTATCGAGTCAGTAATAGACTTGTGCCGGTATTCGGTAATGCGATATATCACGGTAATGAATATGCACGATATTGTTATCGTGGGCACTTCTAAATACCGTGAATAATTATATATTACAAATTATTCCGAATTTTGAATGCATTTTAAGAATACTTTTCCCATAAACTGGTCAAAATGCACAACACCGCCGTATGCTGCATGAAAGATGCGTGCGCACTCTGACCTAAACAAGCACGGACGAGAAGCGCATGGCGGAACATGTAAGAGACGCTCTGGATGAAAGCGCACTTTCCATTTCCAAAGTAACCTTCCCAACACTGCTCGTGAAGGACATGCAGTATAAGTGTTTGGTTTGGTGACTTTACTGTGGAATTTTAAGCTGTGTTTGTCAAACAAATGACGGTTCAGTGCACATTCCTCAGAAACAGTGCAGCTCAGATGAAATTGTGTATTTGTATGTTTCTGTGTTCAGATTATGTGACGAGATCTTCAGTCTGAAAGTGAGACCTTATATCCGCTTTAGTCCCCTCCCATACACGCATAGACATACATACACGTACAAGTGCACACACCAAAAGGCCCAGGACATGACATTGGGATAAACAGCAGGCAACATTCCTGGCTACCATGACAACCCAACCTTTTTATGTACTGGTGCTCCTAGAATATGATTGTAAAAGGGACACTTATCCAGTTAGCCACAAGTATGTTCACAGCAGGAGGAGAATACAATGCTGTTTGCCTTTGGTGTGCAGGTCGTCCATGTCAGGGTTCCCACAGTCACAGAAAACAAGAAACTGTTTTTGTAAGAGCTCGTGTAAAGCGCTAATGTGAACAAGAGACAGTCCAGTTCAGATTTGATGATTTGGTTTTATCAGATCTGTTTACTCCTTTACAATCCAAATGTCATAACTCTGAATGTGTTCTTCTTGTGAAACAACAGACTTCTCTCTGGTGACTATGCTGGACTTCTCCACTCATTTAGTCTGCATAAACTTGTCTCTTTAATACGGTTGACTGCAAGCTCACATTCAGATATGCCTCCATTCAGTCAACAACTGATGTATAGCACCAAGTCCTCGTCCTATATTTTGTATTTTTCGATAATCCGTTTCACTTGGATGCATGTCACAAGTCAGAAGAAAAGATCTGTCGCTACTTCCGCTACATAGCCTGTGTCACTCACATGTGTCTGTCCTTGAATAACTCACAGGTGTGGAACGAGGTCGTGAAGGCCAGAGGGGAGAGTTCACTCTGGTTTGCAGGCACTCCTCCGGAGAGCAGATGGGCCGAGGTGGAGACCCTGTGCTGGTCAGCATTGTGCACAAGGAGAAGAAGGACTGGTGAGCATATATGGGAAAATTAAGACCACCACATTTTTAATAAAGTCACAGTAGGGTCACTAAAATCTTTACAAGGTTGAAGCATAGGCAAAATATTACTTTCTAATTACAGATTCCTCCTGAACTATTAATGCACGTCATTTAATCAAATTAACATTTTTTGTTTGAATTTATTCTGAGATTCTTTTATTCATGAGTGAATAAATAAATATTTTAGGCCTTTTAAAATATTATTTAGGCCTGAATGTAAGATTTATGTATTTTAATTGCAAATAAAATGTTGATCTGTTTGGATTGCACAGTATTAATAAACTTAATGTGATGCATATTTGTCAGCCTTATTAAAATGAAACAAGAATGAGATTTCTGTAATAGTAATAATAAACTGAATGCATTTTAAATACACAGCAACACAAGCTTAGAAAGAATTAAAGTGAATACTATACATTCCATTATCAGCATCTAACATCAGATCTTAAAGGTGACATATCATGAAAATGTTCAAGTGCTATAATTGGGTCCCTGGTGCAACTACCAACCCAGAAAACGTGAAAAATAACCCAATAATTTTTTTTGGTAAGCCTTTCTCTGCAAGCTTGTGAAAAAACAAGCCGTTCAGATTTCGCTCCCCCCACCCCGGTGACATAGAAAGGGGATCTTATTATAATATTACCGCCCCTTAATCTGCACGATTCCACCCACAGCGCTGCCAATCTGTTTTCGCAAGCAACAACGGTGTACCAGCTCTAATGCCACGGCGAAAGTTCAAGCAAAGCATGCTAACTGTTCTGTCTTTGGATGCACTGACAGGAGGAGACAAGGAGACAGGAGACGAGAGCAATGGATTCATTGATTTATTTACTGTATATTACAAGGCTGCCACACAGATCTTATATAAACATGCAATTTCTTTTCCAGCTGTTTACCTTCACAGACATAACCGACTGTTTGTACTCACACTTGTGTGTTTTTAACATAAACCTGTGTGTATTTGACAGTTTAAGCGCAATAAGACATGAAAGAGAACTTTTCATGCCGCTTTCTGTGCGCGTGCTTCAGATGTATGTGCTCAGAAAACTGTATATCAGAAGTTTAACCTAAGATGGTTTAAAACGCATGATTTCAACATGATAGACATGATCATCAAGACCAAACATATGTTTTTTAGTAGAGTATCTGAGGAACCAGCTGTAAAGGCACAGCCCTATTCTAGAAGAGGGGGCGGGGAACAACAGCTCATTTGTATTTAAAGAGACATGCACGAAAACAGCATGTTTCTGCTCCCACTTAAAGCTGCAGTCTGTAAGTTTTGCCTCTTTGTCGCCATCTCTGTTTGAAAACCTGGAATTGCGAAGGTGATAGTTTTGGACACTGGCTGGTAATGTACTTGCTCAAATATTGATTTCGGATCATTTTTAACAAAAACAAAAAAAAAAGTTACGGACTGCAGCTTTAAAATAGGCATTCTCAAAATTATATAATAAATGATATGTGGGGTATTTTGAGCTGAAACTTCATATACACATTCTGGGGACACCCGAGGCCTACTGTATATTACATCTTGTAAAAAGGGGCATAATAGGTCTTCTTTAACATTATTCAGACTGTGATTTTCCACGAGTGTGTCTGTCACATTACAGCTCTGTGGAGGCGGCTGTGGTGGATAAGGGGGATGGTTCCTATGTTGTGTCCTACACCCCAGCTGAAGCAGGTCTCTACTCTGTGGGTCTGTGTTAAAGCCCAGCACGTCCAGGTAAGTGTTCATTTAAACCAGTGCAGCTGTGTCTAATAATTGTATCATTGTACTGGCAAGTTTAAAGGAATATCAGTGATGCTGGGGGCTGTGGTGGATAAGGGGGATGGTTCCTATGTTGTGTCCTACACCCCAGCTGAAGCAGGTCTCTACTCTGTGTGGGTCTGTGTTAAAGCCCAGCACGTCCAGGTAAGTGTTCATTTAAACCAGTGCAGCTGTGTCTAATAATTGTATCATTGTACTGGCAAGTTTAAAGGAATATCAGTGATGCTGGGAATTATATTCTAACAATAGGTGGTTTCTAGGGTTCGCCATTTGTGATAAATGTGAAAAGGAAGTTCAAACGTCACCTTGGCATATTCCATTGTTGTTCCTTCTGCTCCAGTGGGGGCGCTAAAGAGGCACGCTGTGGCTGCACAGGAACTATGCCAGGTACTGTTTACTCCAAAAATGTTTAAATTAATTTTAAAAAGTATGTTTTCACCTAATATAAATTTCTATGTGTGTGTGTGCACTCAGGAGGGTTTCAGGGTTGTGGACATGGTCATAAAGGACACCCCCGTAAGCCCCACTGGTCATGTTGTGGGAGTGTAGTGGAGGCCTCAGAGTGTGTTCTACATAACCTGGGCAGCGTTTCTCCTCGTGGACACCTCAGGACTGTGGAGCTCTGAGACAGAGCAAATATACACTCTATCTGATCGACATAAGCATAAACTCATAAACATAAACTCATAAACATACTTGAATCTTCTCAATCAGCTTACATATAATTCACTATAAATAAAAAATCACATTGTGTTTTTATGTTACCCTTATTCACACAGTCTTTAAGCCTTAATTTGTATGATAATCTTTTTTGTTGTTTCAGCAGTTAATATTCAGAATCATGGCAGTCTTATAAACTGCAATACACAAAGTATATTTAAAATTGTGTTGTCTACTGTACAAAGTGCCAACACTAAATACTTCAGTACTGTCAGTAAAGATTTAACTTGGTTTCTTTACACATTTAGAACTAATAATTTTTAATCACTGTAAAATGTTGTCTGTGGCATTATATTGTTCCATATTTTATCATAATCAGCATGATTTGAAGAAATATTGTAATGTCTGAATATTTTGTTAATGTGCGCAGTACTGTTTTATGTTTCATCTTTTATGATAATCAGCATGTTTCCTTTGATATTACCCAGCTATATGAGCAATGAGGTATGCGTTGTTATTATAATGCTTTATTTTTAGATGTGTGCATGACTCCAAAGACTGCCGTTGTTATTGTATGCATCCATTACATTTCTCTTGTCTTTGTATATGCTGTATTGGTTCCACAGATTAAACAACATTTACCTCTCTCCACTTGTGTGGTTACTAAACTGCCACTTTTAAGATTGTATTTTTGATTCATTGTTAATGTGATATGTTTTACATAGTGTATACTGTGTAGTGTGGTCTATAAAACATCCAGTACATATACTTACTATCAAAATGTATACAGTTTTATGTGGGTATCACCATCATGTTTTTTGCCTTGCTTATTGAGTAATATATTTTAATCTATGCAGTTATTGTTTGGTTCTTATCATATAACTAATCGTTTCATAGTGAGTCTTTATAGATGTATTTGCCAGTTTTTTCTTACTTAAAAGCACAGATTTTTAGAAATCAGAAGTGATGGTTTAAAGTTTGAAGTTAACGCTTTATGATGGATTTGTTTTTTACAAACGCTTTTCACTTCACAAGATAATTGACAGACTGGAGTCATGTTGATTACTTGTGGATTGTTGTGGTGTTTTTATCGGCTGTTTGGACTCATTCTGACGGCACCCATTCACCACGGAGGATCCACTGGTGAGCAAGTGATGTAATGATACATTTCTCTAAATCTCTTCTGAAGAAACAACTCATCATGCTGGATGGCCCGAGGATAACTAATTTTTCAGCAAATGTTCATTTTGTGGGTGAACTTTTAAACAGTTCAACACAGTGAATCAACATACTGCCCTTTCCAACACTAGATGGCAGCAGTGCTTTGTGCGGAAGTTTCGTTGCTTGGCTAAAATTCTGCGCGCTCTCTCTCTCTATCCGTCTGTATTAACAGGTGCACCAGAGACATGGAAACATTTCGTCTCAGGCTTTAAAAAGCAACACTAACCCTTATTAAAATACATAATCTGTATGAAATATTTTTTTCTTAAGTCATTCTTGTAATATTTCTACATCATTCAGTTTACTTGAAAGGAAACGTGCTGAATAAAAACGTTTTGAGTGTTAATGTGACCTTAAAATTAATTTTTTAATTTATAATATAAAAATATATATTTATATAAAGGGTATACATTATATATTTATCTCCACTTGCAAAAAAAAAAAAAAGCCTGTGATTAATCCCAGGAATTATGTCAGACAATGACCTCTACTATTTTTCCACTATGCCATGCACATACAAAGCAATGGATTAAAGTAGCAGTCAATCTGATTCAGAAGGACACCCTACATGCTTTGAACCCTCAGTTTTCTCTTTGAAATCTCTGAGCTCACAGTCAAGGACTTGAGGAGTTCTAAGCCTGCAAACAACTGAATTTTTATCAGAACTGTTCAACGTAACATTTAATTTTCTCTATTCATTATAATCTACTGATTATCTGATATTTATATGAAGTGGTTATTTCATTATTAAGATGTCCTTGATTATTTTTATAGTTAATTATTTTGTTTATTGAAAGGCATTTTTTTTAGTTAATACCCCTAGTTTATGTACATATGTGACCCTGGACCACAAAACCAGTCATAAGTCGCTGGGGTATATTTGTAGCAATAGCCAACAATACATTGTATGGGTCAAAATTATCGATTTTTCTTTTATGCCAAACATCATTAGGATATTAAGTAAAGATCATGTTCCATGAAGATATTTTGTAAATTTCTTACTGTAAATATATGAAAACTTAATTTTTGATTAGTACGGTAATATGCATTCCTAAGAACTTCATTTGGACAACTTTAAAGGCAATTTTCTCAATATTTAGATTTTTTTTGCATCCTCAGATTCCAGATATTCAAATAGTTGTACCTCAGCCAAATATTGTCCTATACCATACATCAATAGAAAGCTTATTTAGATTATATATAAATCTATTGACCCTTATGACTGGTTTTGTGGTCCAGGGTCACATATCTGTACAAAGATCAGTTTTCACCTATATTTTCTTCTAAATATAAATGGATTTTGCATAATCTTAGCCCTTTTCCTATAAAAAAAACAGCTTATATTTATATAGTCTAAACTTCAGGAATAATAGAACTGATGATTTATCCATATATGCATATGTTTTCATTAAAAAAAATTTTGTTTTTTTTCCTTTCCTTCTATTCCTAATATAGAAAAAAGTCTAGGGTGCTGATCCAAGAACATGTCCTACTTGGCAAAATCACACAATCTAAATTATCAATAAAATATATTTTGATTAACATATATAAAAGTAGTGTTATATCTAATTTGTATTTCAGAGAGGAATCTCAAAGAATCTCATTTGTGACCCACATATGCAATCTAAAGGGCTAAAATAGCTATGTATTAATCTGAATTCATAGGGTTTGACAGCACCAGCACCAGCACGCATCACATGACAGATTCAAGTCTCTTTAGGGGGAAGGGTCTGATACACTGATGCCATGACCTGGATAGAATCTAAATGGCTGGTGGAAAGGGGGTTTGGATGGAAGAAAGTTGACGAAGAGAAGCAGCAGTGCAGATTATAATATAAAGCATAGCGTATCATTATTTGGCTTGTCTCATAATTTAAAGCATATATATATATTTTTTTTATTTAGTCATTTATCAGACGCTTTTATCCAAAGCGACTTACAAATGAGGACAACAGAAGCAATCAATTGTAGTATTAAAACAACTAAAAACATACTAGACTTGTGCCGGTATTCGGTAATGCGATATATCACGGTAATGAATATGCACGATATTGTTATCCTGGACACTTCTAAATACCGTGAATAATTATATATTACAAATTATTCAGAATTTTGAATGCATTTTAAGAATACTTTTCCCATAAACTGATCAAAATGCACAACACCGCTGTATGCTGTGTGAAAGACACATGTGCACTCTGATATAAATAAGCCCGGACGAGAAGCACATGGCGGAACATGTGAGAGACGTTCTGGATGAAAGCGCACTTTCACTCTCTGACAGCAGATGGCGCTAAACTGCCATACACATTTATAAATTCAATATATATATTCTTTCATTTCCATTTAGTTTGTTGAAGTATTAAAATAACTCAAATTAAATAAAACAAAAAACTTAATAAAAGACCTATACAGACATAATAAATTCAGACATAATTTAACTAAAATTAAAATAAATAACAAATACAAATAATACAAATCAAATAACAGTAGTTTATCAGTAATCCTAAAAAATAACACTGCCAAACACACATGCTAAAAAACAACAACTTACTTACACATAGTAAGAAATGGTTATAAAAACTGAAACCGAAGCGAAACATATATGTGTGTGTGTTTGTGTGCATATATACACACACACACACACTTGTTCTTACTTGTTTGTCATCCAGAGGACGTCACTAATGGTATGCATCGTTAAACTCGTTGCCTGTTTTCCAGAGACCTCGTATTCCTTGGTGTGCACTTCTTCTGTGAACGGCTTTACGTAATCATCATGGGCTCGAGACCTGCTCGCTATCATATCTGTTGATATTGGATGCACTCAGTCATTCAGTTGCCTCCTCTTCCCATTGCATTTGCCATCTCTCTGTCTTAAACACATTGTCTTGTTTGGCAGTGTTTACCTCTACGAGCTCTTCTCTTTATCTACACTTCATTTATCATTCACACTTGAGGTCTAACGCATATTCTCTTTCCCTTTGTTATTTTTCCTCCACATGCCCTTTTGTAAATTGCTCTGTCTGATGTATACACTCTGTGCTTTTGCCATATCCATTAGTATGTGACTACAGTCTGCCTCAGATCTCTAATCTCCCATCAATCCTTCACAAGGTGAGAACTCTTCCTCACCTGTCAGCAACATGTCATGTCACAGAGCCGAGACCAGATTGTTGTGACAAAACTTGACAACCCAGGCTAAAAGCTTCTTTATCATGCCTGCAAAAGCACTGAAGGGAATAATAACGCATGTGCCAGAGAGTTTTGAATCCGGGACTGTGTTGCGACTGAATTATTCAGTTGGATTAGTTAACATTAGCAGTTTGTCAATAATTCATTCACCAGGAGAAATGTGGTTTCCAGGACAACTTGCATAACATAGTGTTTAGTCCCCTTTGGGCACCTCAGATATTTTAGTAACAGAGCCGGAGATGCTCACTCGCACAATTAAAGAGATGGGAGTAAAAAAAAAAAACTAATGAAGGGGACGTGCAGCATACTTAATTACTTAATCTATATTATTAATCATTGATCATAGTAAATCATGTTTAAGATGTCAACTATAAATTCATGACTATCAATTTATGTAAGAATAGTTCACCCAAAAACTGAAATTTCATCATCTTATACTCCCTGAAGTTGTTCCAATGAATTATTTTCTTCTGCTGAACATAAAAGAATGTGGTTAACCAAACAGATGCTTGTCCCCATTGACTTCCCCATATGGAAAAAAATTACTATGGAGGTCAATGGGGACCATCAGCTGTTTGGTTACACACGTTCTTCAGAATATATTCTGTGTTCAACAGAAGTAGAAAAAAAACTCATATAGGTTTGGAACAAATTGAAGGTGAGCAAATGATGACTTTTATTTTTGGGTGAACTATCCCTTTAAGGAAGCATTCTCTTTCACTAACAGCATAAGATCAGATCTATGATGCGGTTATGGCCAAATGTTTGCAAATAAATAAAATACAATGTGAGTAAGTCAGCTATAAAAACTAATAATTACACTTATGTAGCTACTGCATAGCCCATTTAGCGAGTCATTTGTATGGTAATACAGTAATAAAGTTATTTGCTTCAGAAAAAGTAAATTAATTCCACTAAGTTACACTGTAATACTTCATAATGAGAGATGAAAATCTGCAGTGTTTGCTAACTTTTGGCTGTGGGTTTATTTGGCATACACAATGTCCCTCTTCTGCTTGGGCTACCTGTAAACAGTATGACTGATGCCATTACCTACCATTATACATCAATGCTGAGACTATTTGAGGGAACAGCCATTTGTTGTGGTGTCAGAAACCACAGTGGACATTATCCAGTGCACTCGTTCGGTCCCATAATGCAGTGTTTCCCAACCGGGGTGCCGTCTGTCGAGAGTAGGGGTGCCGTGTAAAAAATCCTTTTTAAATAGTTTTAAATTCCTAAAATGTTCAAAAAAGCAGCTATTATATAATATCAATTTCTGATGTCGCCAATAATTAGAGATGCACTGAAATTCCGGCTGCCGAGCCACAAATTTGTTAAAATTTCCAAAGGGTGCCGCACTAAAGAAAGGTTGGAAAACACTGCCATAATGCACCGCAATAGCGAGTAGCCTACAACTGATGTAGGCATACACTCAACGGCCAGAGAATACCTATATCATACATTTTATACCATGTCTGTCTGTCTGAATACTCTATTCTGATTGGCTGGCATTAAAACCGTTAAATGCACACATAAGTTTAGTCACCGTTATATATGCACTGCTTTAATTGATGCCCACAAACCCACACATCACTCACACACACACACACACACAGCGAGAGAGAGAGAGAGAGAGAGAGGTCGGAGATCGCAGATTGGTGTTCAATTATTTTCAGGGAAACACACGGCTTAGTTCCAGGCAGATCTTGACCGCATTACATACCCATATCACTTCGCCAGTTATTTCAAAGGTCACCCCAAAAAGACACAGAATAGACAAATAAATATAGTAAACAACAAGATAAAAATGACTAATTATTTCCATGTTTTTGCCACAAAATTACGTTTTATTAAGTACGGAAAGCACATAGGCCTACTCTATTTCTCCCGCTCTCTCTGCCTACTGACTCACGGGGGAAAAAAACACGCACAGAAACGTGTTTTCACCGCTGCTCTTTTTGATTTTATCAGTAAGCTTAGCAACTTAAAAGCTACATGACATTACACGTAGTGATCCAGCTTACAGTGGGCGATTTCGGATGCAGCCTTTGACTGTATGTTTTCAGTAACTATTTCTGCAGGTTACATCATTACACCAGTAGATGGCGACAAGTGACTGTGTTTATTAATGATTCATTGATTCATTTACTCAAGGATTCATTCTCGGAAACGCACAACAGTTGGTTCTGTTTTGGCTTGGTTTACAGCTATTTTCATTGGAAACAGTGGCTGGCGTTATTTTGTTCAACAGGTAAGTAATATTATCCTATTGTTTAATGAACCATTGTATAAAAACAATTAGATACATTTGTGCTGTTGTTCTGAAAATTTTCAGAACAACAGCACTTTTGATTGTGTGTGCTGCTTAATTGTTTCACTTACATCAAAGGAAAACATTTGAAATGTTCTGCCTTAACCTGATTGTATTGGCTTTATAAGGCTCAGATGTTATTATACTATTTAATGTAAGTTTTAGACTATTGCTTTATTAGTTTAAACTAGATTTCTCCATGTGTACTTCTGTACCCCCCCCCCCAAAATTGGTTAA